CTCGGTGCGGTCGCGGGGCGGCCGCCCGCCGACCCACTGCTCCGCCTCGTTCCACGTCAGATTCTCGGTGTTGGTGTCGTAGAAGCCGAGGGGAATGTACTTGCCGTTGACCATCTGCTCGATCTGCGTCCAGCTGATGCGGTCGCCGGCCTCGTCGAAGGCGACGGTGCCGCTGACGCCGAGAAACTGCACCTGCGTCAGCTCCTCCTTGATGATCTCGGTGATCTCGCGGTTGTCGTAGTTGAAGTCGTCCAGCGATTTGTTGAACCTAAGGGGGGGGGGTGGTGAGTTTTTGTTGGTCATTTCTAACCCCACTTTTCCTCCCACCCCAACTCACTTGGACAGCCGCTCAATGGACTTGTTGAGGGCGAAGGCGACCGCCCAGATGGCGTCGTAGGCGAGGGGCGCCTCCTGGAAGCCCTCCTGCGGCTTGCCGCCCGGCGGCAGCCACTCGGCGTACCGCGGCAGCTGCCGGGTCTCGTACTCGGTCAGCCACTCCTGCGCCGTCATCCCCGCAATGGTCTTCTGCGTGCCCTGGTTCAGCACCAGCGCCTCCGTGGTGATGTGCTTCTCCACGACGCTCAGCATCTGCTCCATGGTGCAGTTGATGCCGGCGTCCGGGGCGGGGTGGAACCAGTTGTCTTCGTACCAGCCGATGAGGAACCACACGTGCTGCTTTCCGTAGAGGTTGTGCCAGTAGGCGGCGCACATCATCTTGCGGGCGGCGCCGCCGTAGGCCATGGCGACGATGATGCGCGCGTCGGTACGGACGAGGCTCTTCACCGCCTCGGAGGGGTCGCCGAGGAAGGAGATGCGCGTGAGGACGTCGATGCCTGCGTCCTTGCACTTCGTCTCCAGGTCGGCGCCGGTCTAGAAGTGGGAGGAAAGAAAGGAGAGGGTAAGTTTTGCATTCACTAAACTTCTTTTTTTGTTTTTGTTTAGTTTCCCTCGCTTNCCGAGGAAGGAGATGCGCGTGAGGACGTCGATGCCTGCGTCCTTGCACTTCGTCTCCAGGTCGGCGCCGGTCTAGAAGTGGGAGGAAAGAAAGGAGAGGGTAAGTTTTGCATTCACTAAACTTCTTTTTTTGTTTTTGTTTAGTTTCCCTCGCTTACCGTCACAAAGAGCTCCTCCGCCTCGAGGATGATGGCGATGCGCGTCCACTTGAACTTCTTAAAGAGCTTCACCCTCGTCGGATTGTGAATGGTGGCGGAGGGATGCGTCCGGAAGAAGGTGGGAAAGCGCTGGCGGTCGGACAGCGCCGGACTGCTCGACCCGTAGCCGACCACAATGAGGTTGTACATCTTGGCCGTCTCGGCGATGGTCGTGCAGACGATGCTGCACCCGCCCAGAATCAGCGTTTTATTTGGGGGCGTGTAGATGAGGTCGTAGAGGATGGCGGTGCCCAGGCCGGGGTCGCACTGCGAGTTGTTCCACGTCAGGTTCAGGTAGTAGCCGCTGAGGAGGAGGTCGTTGTTGTTGACGTCCTCGAGGGCCATCATGGCGGCGGGCAGGCAGCCCTGGCCGCCGATCCACCCGGTGGTGCCGTTCATGGGGAAGAGGCCGCCGATCTCGATGTACTTCAGCTTGCTCCGGTCCAGCGGCTTGCGCCGCACGGCAGAGTAGTGCGAGGGAATTTGCTGCTGCTGCTGCTGCGGCTGAAGTTGTCTGCCATTGGAAACAGAAGCTGCTGCTTCTTCACCACTGGGCGACTCGAGGACGGCGGAGACTGAAGGAGGAGGAGAGGCAGTGGAGGAAACAGTGTACAGTGAGGCCACCACTGAGGCGGTGATGGCCACCAGAAAAGGTAGGTAAGGGGACGACTTCATTGTGAGTATTTTTTTGGTAATGGCGGTGATTATGTCTGATAATCTTTGATCATTTGTTTACGGGTTTTCTTTCAGGAAGCTCTTCATTGTTCTCCATCTTCGCAC